GGCCAGACAGAGTGTCCTTATTTGGAAGATACAATTCTTCAGTTCATGTGTATACTGCAGTTAATATATGTGTGTTTATCTTGGAGCAGAACACAAAAGGATTTTTATTTAAACTCAATTGGTAAGACCTAAAATTACCATTGCCACAGGTGATTAACATTCACATAGAGCTCAAACTTCTGGCTTAAGCCACGAGTTTTTATGAGCTAAATATTTTGCTGGAGATACTGAGCAGCAACATTGCTATAACTCATCTTCTCTGTAACTCGCAGAATTATCTCATAGCAGAAACACCTTGGTAATCAAATGGGCACGGCAATGGCACAGAATCAGAGACAATGTCAGAATGGAGGGAAATACTGAGCTGGTCTGATCTATAGAATCTTCTTATGAAATAACATCTTAATACCAAAAGCAGACGAAAGTGATAACTGGGCTCCTCAGCTGCATCAGATCTTCATGATTGGGTAGAAATCAGTCTTGGCCACGGACTTTTACTGTGTCCACTGAAGCTCAAATAAAACGCCATGATTTTGTTTCCAGGTCCTGTGTGCCAAGCCGCTTTGCCCAAAGTTTACCTGGGTAGACAGAGGCAGTGGCTGGCCAGAACCCTGTACCATGTTCCTCATGTATCACCACAAAAGAGGTCGACTTGTTTGTCACCTCCCTCATTAACTGAAAATTTGACTGTGTTCTCTCTTTCTTGGATTCCACTGACCCAATTCATAACCTTTGTATCCTTTCAGTATTCAAACGACAGTCTGAAAGAAAACATAGATCTGGAAAAGTCTATTATTAAGAATATTTGCTCTTTCAACACCCCTCCTTTCAAGTTCTACCACAGACCCATTCACTGCCTGTCTGAAAATGACATGAACTCCCGCATTCATTCAGTCTAGAGTACAAGAACTGGACGGGCCCACGTGGAGACATCCACATCTCTTCAGATCAATTAGTGCAAACCTTTTTTTTTTTTTTCCTCTTTTCTTTGGTAAATGTCCTATTTGTTTGTTCCCGTTGTTGAACTCATTACACCAAGTGTTTACAGAACACCTGTGCTGTGCTCGCCCCAGTGATTACCTCCGAGCAAACTCAGTAATGTTTGGAGTGTGATTCACACCTTGGAGTCCACTTCCTTTCGAGCTACTCCATCGCAATCTGTGCGTGAAAGACAGGAGCAGCCACACCCCAGTTTCCCGGGTGGGACTCCTGTGAGGGAGCAGGAGGGGGCTGCCGCCGGGAACGCTCCTTCCAGAAGCTGCCTCTTTCCTTCCTCTCAGTCACATAGCCTGGCCCGTAGCAACACCCACGGGCAAGGTGCTCCTGACAGGTGGTCCAGTCCGAAGCAGTCATTCGGTCCTGGAGTGAATATGAATGGAGGACCTACTGTGTGCCAAGCACTCTCGTGGGTGTTGGGCGCAGAGCGGTGAAAAGGACGCATCAAGTCCTGTGCCCTCTGCGGTACTTACATGCTAACGGGGGAGGCAGAAAATAAGGAAACAAATAAGCAGAATGATTTCAACTAGTGATAAGTAGTATAAAGGAAACAAAAAACCAGAAATGCAGTGTGGGGATTGGATATCATATCTCCCTCCCTCTCCAAAGAGGGGACACAGACTGAGACCATAAGGAGGGCCTCCCAACTCTCTCCACCCTCCGAGTACAGTCACAGGACCTTGCACGACCTCAACCTCTCTCCTCTCCCTCTCTCTCCTCTCTCCTCTCTCCTCTCTCTCTCTCTCTCTCTCTCTCTCTCTCTCTCTCTCTCTCTCTCCCTCCCCCCTTCTTAATCAATGGCCCTACTTCATAAGGACTGACATGAATAGTGAGGACAGGTGGGGCAGCTACTGGAGACAGAGGTGACATTGTGACTTAGCTGTGCGGTGGATGACTCATCCTTGCAAGGTTCATCCGCAGGAGCACAGCCACACCTGGGAGGCGGGAGAAGCGGCGAGTGTGAGGCAAGCAGCCGGAGCTCCAGGAAACGGAAGGCACCGTGTGAACCGGCCGGCCCCGTGCTCCCACAGTGGGAAGCTGTTTACTCTCTCACCCCGAGGACAGAGCTAGACAGCAAATCTGTAATAATTATCAGCCAGATCAACACGTTCTAACTGACCTGCTTTCGTCATTTCTTTCCCCAACAGTGGTTCAATGGCCTGTGAATGTTTGCTTTCAGAAGAAAAGAATTTTTTTTTTTTTATTTAAATAAATCATGCCACGGTCAAAGGAAGCTTTTGTTCCTTCGTAGTCTACTCCCTTGGTATTCACATTGTGCATTGAAATTTTTAAAAATTGTGTTTGATGCAGCCACTGTGTGGCTTACACAAAAATTGCTGAAAAATGATCCTAAGCATGTTTTAACCCTTGAGTGACTCTGTGGGAATGTGTCTTATTATTGTCTTAAGAGCTGAACTTTCACAGATCCTAAAATGATGACAATTTCTAAAAAAAATAAAATAAAAAATCAATCAATGCTTAGGACACACCTGAAGAGAGAGAAGAACTGTAAGACGTGGCTTCTTTCTTACAGGAACTTTAAATCTAGTTGAAGACACAATAATAGGGAGCAATGTAAGACCGCACACAATTAAGCTACACTGTGAGGTACACACTAAAAGGACCGTAGAGGAGGCTAGAATCAACAAGTACTGCTTGATGGAAGAAGTAGGACTTCAAGAATGGAGAGGATTTAGACAGGAAGAGAGGAAAGTATTTCAAGTGAGGGGAATAAGAGTGAACACACCCAGAGCTGAGCATGGGCCGGAATATTTTCAAGGGACAGGGTGGGAACATGAACTAGCAGCTGTGCTCACTTGGGGAGCTCTGGGAAGCGGTCACATTCAAACCGCACCATGCCTGTAATGGGCTACAGATGCACAACTGAAGAAGTCTGTGAGACTTTGGCTCATACTGACTTTCTAGGCCCCTCCGTGGACTTAGGCAAATTGTTGCTGATTTGTAAATATCTGTTGTATTACGGTATCTGGATGGCTCACAGGGTGTGTGGGTGAATTTGAACATAGAAACTGCCAGAAAACCTTCTTCTCCAACAGGTCACTGCAAGGTCATTGAGATGACACTGCAAATAGAAAGGCACCTCAAGACCCACTAAGTTTACATCCTTCTGTTGGTGAATATCTCAGCAGAAAGTGATTTTCACTGGTTACCTTCCACAGGACCTGTTTTCCGGGCTTCAGAGAAGATAAGGAAATCACCCAAATCACTTTATTGAATATCCTAGCAAAATTAAGGGTTTCTAAATTGTACTTTGTGCTTTTTATATTTATACATTTACATTTTAACCTGTAATCTTAGGTCTGTGAAGTCACTGGTAGAAATTCTATCTCCCCTAATGTTTGTTCATCACATTCGCGGAATCTAAAGTTTGCCTTCAGTTATGGATTAACTCCTAACCAGGAAATATTTTTACAAAAATGAATGCATATAATTGAAGACAATAGGCTCCTTTCTCCCTTATGGTTTGAATCGCTCGTGACTGATGCCTTTGATAATTCTAGAGACCTACAAATCTAAATTAGCCATGGATCTTAAAGAGAATTAGCAAAGCCCAGCCTCTTGGGTGAAAAGACTCCAAATGAAAGGACAGGAATCTATTTCAAATGGAAATGAATGTGACTAGGACCTCTAGTGGCCAAACCTGTCCCAGCCTCCCAGTCCAGGCACTAGAGTCTTTCCGGGAGCCACACCTCTCCCAAGGACAAAGGCAGTCATGACAGCTGTTACAGCCTCCCTTTCCCCACCCTCCCCGGAACCACCCACCACGCACCGCATGTTACCAAATGTTCCATTGAAGGTAAAAACCACAAAGAAATTCTGCTCAGTGGCTGTGAAGACAGATTTCTCCAAGGTAACTTAGAACAAGCAGAAGAAATACATACCTAGAAGGCACTTAGGAGAGTTTTAGAACCTTCTCAGAGTCTCATACCCCAGTTCTGATTGGGTCTGCCCCTGACATATCTGAAGCAAATAATCAGATCTATGGAAAATGTCTGTACACTTCATCTTGTAAAGTAGATCAGCCTAGTATATTGGTACCCTTTTGGATTCAGGGAATATTACAGCAATTTCAGTCCTCTTAAAATTAAAAAGCATTAGCCCAACCAGTGTGGCTCAGTAGTTGAGCGTCGACCCATGCACCAAGAGGTCACTGGTTCGATTCCCTGTCAGGGCACATGCCCAAGTTGTGGGCCTGATTCCCAGTGAGGGGCATGCAGGAGGCAGCCAATTGATGCTCTCTCTCATCAATGTTTCTATCTCTCTCTTCCTCTCCCTTCCTCTCTCTAAAAATCAATAAAGAATAACAAATTAAAAAGCATTATTCAGTACTATAGATGTCAATATACTCATAAAGAGAACACACCTTTTCTGTACTCTTAAATCTTTCCTGTCTTTTCATCTGTAAAATGAGGATAAAAATAATAATAGTTGTGGTCCAGAATTGCTATAATGAATGTTGAGCTTTTGTAATGATGCCTGGAATACTATCACTCAAAAAAATAGAAGTTGCTACAATGATGATATGATGATTCCTTCATGTACATATTTATCTTCTCCCCACCTCTTAGCATCCACATGCATTTTCCCAAGTAAATGTGGATAAATGATTAATCTGGCCAGAGAGAGAATAAGTTTTTTTTGAGCTGAGAACCTGACGCTCAATATGATATCTCCAGGCCTCTTGGTCAGGGTCAGGGATGCAGTGGGAGTTTTACTGTCCCTTTTGGAGCCTAATGCTTCTGGAAGGACGTGTTTCCTTTGACTATGACTCCTACAGTGATCAGTCGCCAGTTTTCTTTTTGTTGCTGCTTTGGTTTGTTTTTGTTTTTGGTCAGCAGTTTTCAAAAACATTCTGGGATCAAGTGAATTTGGCCTATGAATTTAAAATTATGGGCTGAAGAAGAAAGAATCCAAATGAAGGTTGGGTCTTTCGCGAATGTAGACTAACTGGGATGTCTTTCCCCTCCCCCTCTTCCCTCCAGGTCAATCTGCGCGCCACAGACGCCAGGCTCATGCGCCAGTTGCTCGTGATCAATGAGAACATCGAGTCCATCAAGTGGATGATGGAGGAGAAAGGCGCCAGCACCAGCCGAGGCAGCAGTCTCAGCGGCAGTCTGTGCAGCTTGCTGGAGAGTCAGAGCACCTCCTTCCATGGCAGCTACAACAGCCTACATGATGGCAGTGATGGGCTGGATGGGATCTCCGTGGGCAGCTATCTGGACACTTTGGCAGATGATGTCCCAGGCCATCAGACCCCGTCGGACTTGGACCAGTTCAGTGACGGCTCCATCATCGAGGACTCCCAAGCACTGCACAAGCATCCCACATTGGATTCTGAATACTACTGCTTTGGCTAATGACCCAGGTTTTTTGCATGGGATTGGTGTGCAATTAACTTGTATTTATCTTTCTTCTCTGCTGCTATATTTTTGGTGTGGTTTTTTTTTTTTTTTTTTTTTTTAACATGACAACCTTTTTAAAAATAAATATTTTTTTTATTGATTTTAGAGAGAGAGGAAGAGAGAGGGAGAGGGAGATAAAGACATCGATGAGAGAGAACATCCACTGGCCGCCTCCTGCATGCCCCCCCCCCCCAACCGGGGATTGGGCCCACAACCTGGGCATGTGCCCTGACCAGGAATCAAACCAGCAACCTCTTGGTGCATGGGTCAATGCTCAACCACTGACATGACAACCTTTAAAAAAAGAAGCATATTTTGAAACTGCTTGATATATCTTTTGCTCCTAATCTTTCTAATCTAGACATTTATATTTGTCTCTTACATCTCTATTTTTATTTATTATAATGATTTTTTTCTCCCTTCTTTTACAGTGGCACATATAAAGTAGGGGGGAAGAATAAGCAATAATTATGTTTTTGCTTTTGTTTTCAGAGCAAGGGGTCAGGGATTACTTCAAAAACTTTGCTAAATTTTACAATAAACCAAAGTCTGATAACAGCTAATTTTGTTGCTTGTATTCTTAAATGATTCAAAGTTTCACTGTCTAGAAGATACTGAGGTTTATTTGTACAGTAGAATGAACAAAATGCTTGGGACAAAGCTAGACATTACTTCCAGTCCACAACTTCCTAGTGTAAACATCAATGATACTGTTTGTCACACGCTTCTCATGGCAATCATTGGGAAGCCCCAGCTCTATGCAGTCTGTTCAGGTCAACTTGTTTTCATTTGTACATCAGCATTTTCTCATCAGTGATTCTAACTGAAACTGTAGACTGTTTTGTGTAATTGTATTTGATTCTCCCAAATTCAAAGATAACTGAGATCAGGTATGATGATGATTAGAGGTTAAGGGGTCCTAAATTTAATTTTATTTTGAGATTTTTGTTGACATTTACTTATATACATTTTGCAACTGTAATAAGATATATAAAAACTTAGATAATACATATGAATGGATGGATAGATATATTACATGCAAAATAGAATCACTATTCACTTATATGATATCGTTTCATCCTGGGATGGATAAATCATCTCAGTTTTCTGAAATGACATATGAAAATATAACTTACGTGGTAAACATTTAATTTTGATGTGATATTATTAATCCTCCACATTCCTTTTACCTGGATGATTTCTAGTGAGTGAATCTATTGAGATGTCAAACTGTGTTTTATAATGATACATGTTTCTGCACAAAATATTTTACAATATGAATCAAAAAGTCTTCCTATTTATAACTAAAAAATGTCCATATTCAAGACATGATTTCCCCAAAGTGTCCTTTGTTATTATGTACCTATTACACACTTGTTAAATGTATTGTTTGTTTCCAGGGCATATATTACTTTATTTTCGATTAAAATCTATAGGGTCTTTATTTCACAGTGGTCCTTTTTCATAAACTTCTTGACATAATTTTCATTACAATAATTGCATGTTATGGAAATTATCTCCCTTCTACGTTTGAGGAAACTGAGGCACACAGAAGGTAGGTGACTGGATCAGATCACCTAGTAAGTGTCAAGCTGGGATTTGAACTTGGATATGTCTTATTCCTAACAATAACACTCAGTAGACCCTTTGGTACCACGTTAAATAACAAAGTATGAATGAGAAAGCAAATATAAGCCCACGACGAAAAGAAGAAAGACATCAACCATTTTCCTTCCAATCAGTATAACCTGCATTGTTCAACATTGAGTTTCCAAACCCTGTCTTGAAATCCCACGTCCAGAGTTAGTCTTATACCTATAGGTGAAGCAGGCAGTTGGCCATATGCCAGTTGTTCCTCACATATTTCACTCTTTCTGCTTTCTTTTTCATTCAATTGAATAAAGTCTGGTTGGTTGGCTATTTTGTTCAGTTTTAATCTGAAATCATACCAAGCGATTTTTAGCACACATGACCTGGCTGAGAAAACAGGGCGATGAAATAGGTAACCCCATGTCTGCACCATGGCAGAAGAACTTCCTCAATCAGAGACGTGGGCCGAGAGTAAGTACGCGGGGGGGGGGGGGGGGGGGGGTGTGCATCAAGGGCAAATTCCGACCCCTTCAAACCCAGTTTTTGCCTGGATTGAGCCAGGCACAGAACGTGATTTGTGTCCTTGGATCCCAGTTTCAGATTGTAAATTTAAAGTGGCAAATTTATTTTACACCCTCCTTTTGCCAGTCAGCTTCCCCTGCTATTTGTCTATCCCATACCCTCTATAAATTTCCCTTCTGTAGAAAGGAAATGGAAAAGTGTAGGAGTATGCTATGAGAGAAGTATGCGGAATAGTTTTCATTTATACATTTTCTTTTAAAGAACCTGTAATGAACTTTGGCAGAGTATTTAAGGAGAATTTTTTTTGGCTCAATAGTTTATGTACTTTACAGTTATGCCTGTTTTTTCAAAAGATACCAAATATAGTCTGTGATTTAGATACATGGAGTCACATATAAGCCAACAATATTTTGATAGTTGATTTTACTAAGAAGAGGGAAATATGCAGTTAAACAACACTAATTAATTACTAACATATTCATTGGTCTCAAGAGAACAAATGTATTTTCAACTAAAGAATCCTCATAACTAATGTCTGACCTGCAGCATTTGATGTTCGATCTCTGTCAGCACCACAAGGAAATGGGATAAAAATGTTAAAGCAAAAGTGCCTTTCAAACAACTGCATGGACTGAGTTGCGTTCTCCCAGAGAAATGGAATTTTCCTCAGCTAAATTAATCTCTCCTGTTTTAGTGGCTCGTCTGTCTTATGAGAGGGAGATAATTGAAGGTAAGGAATTTGGACAATTTACAGCTAGTACATTTTGAGGGTTTTGCAAAGAAATAAACTCTAGATGACTAACTTAGAAGTCTTGACTAAACTTCAAAGAAACTCCAATATTTATACTACCAGTCAGCCCCAGATTCCATAGCATAGTTTTAAGCATTTGTCAACGTTTAGAAATGCAGTAAGGATTTTTTGCTGCTTGGTGGATTATGAAGGCCCTTGGAGTTCCATGAATAAATTCAATCAAGCATTTGTATCCCCAACTCTATCAAAACACGGTCACTTCCATGATGCCAAAATAAATGGTTAATTTGAGGTACTCATCTTACTTGACAATCTCAGCAGCAACGAACACATTTGATCACTCTTTTTTATTTATTTAAATTCTTTTAAAAATGTATTGACTTTAGAGAGATAGAGGAAGGGGGGAGGGAGGGGAAAGAAAGAAAGAGGAAGAAACATCTATGTGTTGTTCCACCAATTTATGCATCTGTTGGTGAATTCTTACATGTACCCTGACCAAGGATCAAACCAGCAACCTTGGCATATTGGGACAACACTCTAACCAACTGAGCTACCTGGCCAGGGCTGATCATTCCTTGCTTAAAGACTCTCTTCATTTGGCCTCCTGGACCTCCCTCCCTCTTGGATCCTCATTCCCCACTACCTGCTTGTTATTACACTCCCATGGCTACTTCCTCCTCGGACTCCTGCCTTTCAAACACAAGAGTGCTTCTGCTGGTTGCTGGGGCAACCTCTCTTCTCAAAGGGCTCCGTGGGGATTTCATCCACTTCACAGCTTTAACTGTCACTAGGTGCAGAGGTTCCTAAAAGGGCAGCTCTAGCCCCAGTCTCCCATGTCCACCTGACCCCAAGCATCTCTGCTATTAATGTCTGATAAGCCGCTCAAGGTAAACATATCCCAAACTGAAATTCTGTCTGAGTTCTGTAGTCTCCCCCAGTTCAGTAAATGGTGCCTCCTCTCATCAAATGCTCAGCCCAAATCCTTGCAGTCATTTTTATTTTTACTTTTTTATCCTCACCGAGGACATTTTTACATTTATCTTCAGATACAGCAGTAGGGAGAGATGGAGGAAGAGAGAGAGAGAAACCTCGCCCTGAGAGACACACATCGACTGGCTGCCACCGACACGACCCCAACCAGGGCTGGGGACAAACTGCAACCGAGGTATGTGCCCCTAGCAGCAACCGAACCCGGGTCTCTCTAGTCTGCGGGCCGACGCTCTAACCACTGAGCCAAACCTGCCAGGGCCTTGCAGTCATTTTTAACTGCTCTCCCTCTCATCCAATCCATCATGCAAATCACATGAGCGCTACTTTAGAAAAATACCCAGAATGAACTACACAGTCTCATGTTACCAATGCTCCCATTCTAATCCAAGTCAGTGTCATTCTCCCTAATGCAACGGCCCTGTTTGTCTCCTTGCTTCTACCTTTACCTTCCTGCAGGTAGCAGTCAACATAGCAACCAGAATAATCCTTTAAAATACAAGTCAGAGTTTCACCAGCCTGTGTTCCAACCCCATAATGTACTCCTATCTCCCTTTGAGTATAAGCCAACTCTTTTTAAAAAAAAAAACTTATCTTTATTGTTGAATGTATTACAGATGTCCCTCTTCCCTCCAACCTTGACCTTTCCCTCCCCAATCCTGCCCCCCCCCACACTGCTTTCCCCACACTATTGTCTGTTCTATTGGTTATGTATACACGCATATAAGTTCTGTGGTTTCTCTCTTCCCACGCCACCTCTCCCCTTCCCTCTGCGGTTCATCAGTCTAACAACCAATTTGTATTTCCTAACCCCCTCATCTTTTTCACCCAACTCCCCTACCATCTGGCAACCAACAAAAAGTTCTTTGTATCTATAAGTCTGTTTCTGTTCTGCTTGCTCATTTTGTTTGTAGATTCAATTGTTGATAGATATGTATTTATTGGCATTTTATTGTTCATATATTTTTTTTTATCTTCTTCAAGAAGACCTGTCAACATTTCATATAATACTGGTTTGGTGGAGATGAAACTCCTTTAGCTTTTTCTTGTCTGGGAAACTCTTTATATGGCCATTGATTCTAAATGATAGCTTTGCAGGATAGAGTAATCTCGTAGGTCCTTGCTTTTTATCACTTAAAATATTTCTTGCCACTCTCTCCTGGCCTGTAAAGTTTCTTT